CCTGCAGTTCTCAAATTCTGCTCCGAAGGAAAACATGCTCTCCTTTTATGCTTCACAAAGTCACATCCTTATTTAGATCCTTAACCAGAAGCTGCTTGCCATGAGATCCAAACAGAAAAAGATGTATCCAAACTAGGCTTCGATTTGAAAGATTTCACCCCGAAGTCCTATATGAAATGCTTCTTAAATCTTAATGGGAACTTGAATATGAATTCGGGGCACATTACGTTCACTTCTTAAAAGAAATAAAATTTGGTGACAATTTGAGATGTCTGTAAGTGTATCTGTAAGTGTTCCTTTTTATAGTTTGGAAGGAGAAGTGAAGGTCAGATTCAGTCAATTAATGGGAACCAGGTCATCTCCTGTTGCTATTTCTAACCTGGGACACCAGTAACTGGGGTGTCAGGTGGTCCTTCAGGTTCAAGCTGTAGAGTTGCCTTTGCTGCTGACCCCAAACACTCCATCTTTTCTCCCAAAGATATTCACCAAGACAGCTCTAGAAGAGAGCTTGTTTTCGCACCTCTCAGCCTATCTCTGGGTTAATAAACTCACAAGAAAGCAGAGTCGCAGACGGCAGCAAGGGTTTCACAACGCATACGTGTATCAAAACATCATGTTGCGTCCCTTACGTGTATACAATTTTCTTTGTCGATTACACCTCGATAAAGCTGGAGGCAGATAAAGTAGAACCACAATGAAGATGTGCCACAATCTCCCGGAGACAGAAGGAAATAAGCAACAGAGGTCAAATTAGCAAATAATAGTGATCAATGCGAACAAGTCTTCCCTCCCACCCCTGCTTACCTGACAATGAAGTCGAACTCGGACCCTGCGAGCATCAGCACTCCCAGCAGCGTGGAGACGGCGCCGTCCAGAACGGGCGCAAACATGTGCTGGAGGGCCAGCACCGCCCTGTGGTTCTTGTCGCCAATGGCTGTTAGGAAGGCCTGTGCAGCGAGAAAAGTTTGAACGGGTCAGATTCCTGGACTCAGTCAACGGCCAGCTTCGTCTTAAACGCCGTAAGCCGCTGTCACCTGCCTGCACTGAACCTCTCAGATCTGACTGTCTGGCTACTGCGATGTTTCATGGAGGCCGTCCAGCCGGCCAAGTCCAGGCTCACGCTCAGTTGACCTGTTCGGGACAATGGTATTTTGAGGCTGATGTAAGTCTTGAACACACAACAAATAAAGAAGGTAGGCATCTTTACCTTAAATTATAAAACCCTGCCGAAACTGTATGGAAATGAGCAAAACGCTCCCTTCTTTTCACCGTGACTCACCCTTGCGTTTACATCCTCACGCTAATGATTTCACCTCATTCACCAGGGGGGCCTCCAGTGGTGACAGCGACAACATTTTGCCTGACTTTGTGGAAGGTCAAGATCTCTCTTCCAGATGAGCTTAGCTGGTGCCACACACACCTGGGTGCTAAATGCGTTATTTCCTCGTGATGCTGCTTAGGTTAGAATTTCTGTCTCTGTGTTTAAACTAACGTGTTTATAGTAGATCTAAGCACTGTGACAGCATCACCAGAAACATACAGGACTGTAAATTCAATCCAACCTGTTCTGTGTGTGGACCCATCCCACCTCTTCTGCATCCGCTAAAGTTCTTCTAGGTCAAGGACACTGCTGATACCAAATGAGAACTTTATGGAATAGGTCTCAGTATATTAGACCATTGGCTTGAGCATCTGACCCAGGACCATCTGAATGTGGGGCAGTCACAGTTACACTCTGCCTGGTCTCCCAGTGGGACCCAACAGGGAGGGCTGAGCTCGGCACAAGCTCGCTCTGCCTGGAAGTTCAGGCTGCTATGGGATAAGCTGAGAAGAGGACCCGGGGCCCTTGTGGGTGATGTTATGTGCCCTGGGGAAGGACAGGAGGTTATTAACGGGTAACAAAATAAAAGTATGCAGAAGTATATGAAGGTGCGCTGTGAGTTTTCACATTTTTCTCTAAAGTGGCGTCTATGTACACGATGCTCTGTCAGAGTTGGAAGACTTTAGGGTCATTATATCTGCCTTTTCCTCTTGAAAGGAATGCACCAAGATGTTCTGGAACCATGTCGTTCTGTGCTGTATTTGGGCCACGGGGCCATAAGGGTCAAAGCTGGGTCGACCTTCTAGTTCCAGCTTATGCCACCCAAACATGCACCCAGCGATTCCTGGACAACCTTCACGTCCCGGGTGGGGTCAGAACACCGTGTCCTGCGTGTGGATGGCCTGATGGAGACTTGGGCAAGGAGCACAAAGCCAGGCTGGCTCTTGAGATTTCTTAAATTCTCAGAATTAAATCTCGACCATGTTGTAGAGGCATTCCTCCCTTGTTTATTCAATAGCAGTATGGGTACGTTGCTCATGCTACCTCAAGCGCAGAGACCCAGGGTACCACTACGGTTTAAAGACTGTCATTAGCGGCCCCATTGCAAAAACCTGTTCTAGGACTGCCCTGGTTTGTAATGCTGGCTACCAAAAAGAATGGTTTTCCCTCACATCAGGGTAAAGTGACCTGTGGATTTTTTAACTCACATGCAAATTTTTCTTTTTAAAATACATGATATTATAATTATGTGTTTTCTAAGCTGTAGGCTGGTGGGTTCTTCTTCATAAAAACCCTCCCACCTTCTTCCCAGCTCAATGTAGGAAAGTAACTTGGGCAGGCTCAACATTTAGAGAACTGTTTCTATAACATCAGCTTTTTATTATACACTGGGTGGAGAAATAGGTTAACCGTAAGAAAACATTCCTTCTGAAATATAAAAGTTGACAACCTATGGAGCATAAACATGGCCCTGAAAACCCCTGGTGGAAGGACACTGAAGGTACAAGGCAGAAGCGTATGTGGAGACATGCATACGTCTACCGGTGTTGAGCCCCAGTACAGGCAAGGCTAGAGACTGCAAAAGCCAGGCTGAAAAACTCTGACCCAAGTCCAGTGCTAGGTTTCCCAGCTAGGGCATTCCGAACACCCGTATTCAGTCAGTCAGTCAGGATGTACTGAATGCCCGCATAACCCCAAGGACTCAGGCCACAATACAAGTGTGGAGGGAACCGAATTTACACTCTGCTCTGAGGCTTCGGAATAACTCTCTGGTAAGTGTACGCAATGGGCTCGTCTCTGGGATTGAAGACAGGACCGGGCACAGAAAGAGCTGGGGGGGGGGCGAATTCCTGTTGAGAGCAACGCTAGTGACCTCACTCTTGCTGCCGTGAGTCTGGAGGCCGGGAGGTGGAAGGAGCTGGCCGGGCTCAGGTGGGAGCGCCAGGTCCTCCGCGCTGAGCTCCAGCCCCTCTGCCCACCAGCCCCAGGGTGTCTCCTCGGCTGCCAACTCGCCTCACCTCAAGGCCGCCATCCCCGCCAAGCCTGTGAGTGTGGTCTCATTTTATCCCCGCTTTAATCCTGTGGTCTTAGAGATTGTGTGTGTTCGTGCACACGCACACATTCACACACCATCTGTCTGAGGAACAGCTGGCCACTTCAAGACCTGGGGTGACACAGTTGCCAACACCAGGTAAGCACACCCAGGTGCCAATACACCAAGCCACCAACACACCCAGGCCACACTGCCCACTGCGGACAGCCCGGCTCTCCCTCGCCTTTGAGGCCCTTCTTCTTAGATCCCCCTGGAGGGAAAGGAGCGCCAGACTGCAGCCACTCCCGGGGGTGCCTGCGACCTTCAGCCTTGTCACTGTGATGCGTGTCAGGGGTGTTCCTTGCTGCAGGACAACATGAAAAGGTTCCCAACTTGGAGACTGAAACACCTAGAGGAGCTACGTTGCCTCCTCATGGTTTTAGCTGAGAACGTCTCCCGTACCAGAGCGACGTGAACGGTGAATTCCACTCCAATGCCGACGGAAGCGATCAAGATGACCACAGGCACGGCGCTCAGCTTGATCCCAATGAGGCCCATCATGCCAAAGAGCTCGACTGTCATCAAAGCCAAGACTGTCACCTTTAAAAAGACACACAGGGTGGGTGACGGGGCACAGACACACGTGAGGTGTCGGAAAAAATTTTTCAAAGCGATTCCACCAGAGCAATCTACAAAGAATTATACAAACACGCACCCACTATTGGCCACCCATTTACT